GACACCGTATGAACTGTGGTTTGGCAAGAAACCAAAGTTGTCGTTTCTTAAAGTTTGGGGTTGCAATGCTTATGTGAAAAAGTTTCATCCTAATAAGCTCAAACCCAAATCGGAAAAGTGTGTCTTCATAGGATACCCAAAAAGTTACTATTGGGTACACCTTCTATCACAGATCCAAAGGCAAGACATTCCTTGCTAAGAATGGATCATTTCTAGAGAAGGAGGTTCTCTCGAAAGAAGTGAGTGGGAGGAAAGTAGAACTTGACGAGGTAACTGTACCTACTCCCTTATTGGAAAGTAGTACATCATAGAAAACTGTTTCTGTGACACCTACACCAATTAGTGAGGAAGCTAATGATGATGATCATGAAACTTCAGAACAAGATACTACTGAACCTCGTAGATCAACCAGAGTAAGATCCGCACCACAGTGGTACGGTAATCCTGTTCTGGAAGTCATGCTACTAGATCATGATGAACCTACGAACTATGAAGAAGCGATGGTGAGCCCAGGTTCCGCAAAATGGCTTGAAGCCATGAAATCTGAGATGGGATCCATGTATGAGAACAAAGTTTGGACTTTGGTTGACTTGCCCAATGATCGGCAAGCAATTGAGAATAAATGGATCTTCAAGAAGAAGACTGACGCCGACGGTAATATTACTGTCTACAAAGCTCGACTTGTCGCAAAAGGGTTTCGGCAAGTTCAAGGGATTGACTACGATGAGACCTTCTCACCCGTAGCGATGCTTAAGTCTGTCCGAATCATGTTAGCAATTGCCGCATTTTATGATTATGAAATTTGGCAGATGGATGTCAAAACTGCATTCCTGAATGGATTTCTGGAAGAAGAGTTGTATATGATGCAACCAGAAGGTTTTGTCAATCCTAAAGGTGCTAACAAAATATGCAAGCTCCAGCGATCCATCTATAGACTGGTGCAACCATCTCGAAGTTGAAATATACGCTTTGATAAGTTGATTAAAGCATATAGTTTTATACAGACTTGCGATGAAGCCTGTATTTACAAGAAAGTGGGTGGGAGCACTACATCATTTCTGATAAGTATATGTGAATGGCATATTGTTGATCGGAAATAATGTAGAATTATTCTGCAAAGCATAAAGGAGTGTTTGAAAGGAGTTTTTCAAAGAAAGACCTCGGTGAAGTTGCTTACATATTGAGCATCGAGATCTATAGAGATAGATCAAGATGCTTGATAAGGTTTTTCAATAAATACATACCTTGACAAGATTTTGAAGTACTTAAAAATGGAACAGACAAAGAAAGAGTTTCTTGCCTATGTTACAAGGTGTGAAATTGAGTAAGACTCAAAGCCCGACCACGGCAGAAGATAGAAAGAGAATGAATGTCATTCCCTATGCCTTGGTCATAGGTTCTATAAAGTATGTCATGCTGTGTACAAGATCTATTGTATACCCTACCACTGAGTTTGGCAAGGGAGTACAATAGTGATCTAGGAGTAGATCACTAGACAGCGGTCAAAATTATCCTTAGTGGAATAAGGATATGTTTCTCGATTATGGAAGTGAAAAAAGGTTCGTCGTAAAGGGTTACGTCGATGCAAGTTTTGACACTAATCTAGATGAATCTAAGTCTCAATCTAGATACATATTGAAAGTGGGAGCAATTAGCTAGAGTAGCTCCGTGCAGAGCATTGTTGACATAAATATTTGCAAAATACTTACGGATCTGAATATAACAGACCCGGTGACTAAAATTATCTCACAAGCAAAACATGATCACACCTTAGTACTCTTTGGGTGTTAATCACACAGCGATGTGAACTAGATTACTGACTCTAGTAAACCCTTTGGGTGTTGGTCACATATCGATGTGGACTATGGGTGTTAATCACATGGTGATGTGAACTATTGCTATTAAATCACATGGCGATCGGTCGGGCCGTGGAGACGTACGACTACATCAACCAAACGCTTCCGTTGTCGATCTACAAAGGTACGTAGATCATACTCTCCCCTCTCGTTGCTATGCATCACCATGATCTTGCGTGAGCGTAGGAATTTTTTTGAAATTACTACGTTCCCCAACATCCACGCCCTCTGTTGTTCCTTTGCTGCTGCTGCCGTTGGTGATCCCATCCCACCCACCGCGTACATTGTTAATGAGAGAGCAGGCCTCCTAAACTCCGCCTCTGCAGACCCTGTACGGGACAAGGGTGATTAGGGTTTTAAGGAGCATCCCCTATGCGACTGCTCGCTACCGATCGTCTTCATTCACTACTTCCGTGTCTCCTTCGTCATCATCATGTCCACCGATACCAAGAGAGCTTCCGCTGACATGAAGGCGGATGAGGAAGCCGCCGCCACTGCTACGGCCAACTGGCCTATTGGAGGGTATACCATGCTTATCCTTTGAAGAGAGCATTAGATATGGATGTAGTGTGCAACAACATCGATGTTACAAGGATTGCACATAATTGACTAGAACTAAGGCAAGACTAGAAGGGATGTGACATTGCTTCTATCAAACCGGTGTTGACAGAGTACTCCCTTGTTCCATATTATTACTTCCATCATAAATTACTTGTCTTAAATTTGTCTATATACAGATGTATCTAACTCTGGCACGTGTTTAGATACATCCGTATGTAGACAAATGTAAGACAAGTAATTCGGGGCGGAGGGAGTATAATATAGTAAGCCATATAAGTTTGCATGCAGTTAAAGTTTTAGATTTTTTACCACTAACATAGGAAGTACATTGATTCATCCTCTAAGAATGACATATTTCTACTTGCCTTGCACAACACTTTTGTGCCATATATATGCTTATTTATTATTTTTGTAAGCATTCTATAATCAAATTTTCTACTCCCTCTTTGGCATACACACCTTCAAATTTCAGGCCCAACTAGCATTTCCAAACTTGCTAAAAAACAACCAACGTTTCCAAAATGTGATTGCAAGGAATTGACACCGGTGGAGGAGAAACTTTTTGTCCCCTTGCTCCGGTTGCCATCTTAGCAATGAGAGGTGGGGGGCACGCAGATCTTTAACTAATTTGCAATCTTCATCAACACTTATGGTGGTCATGATGTTTTGCAAATAAAATTACTCATATTCCTCTGTGATGGTGTCATGGATCCAAGGAGGTATGTTCGTGGAACCAATTATTCAGACCTGATGAGGTTTTGTGTGATGTTGCTTTTGTTGGTTTGTTTCTTCGTGGAGTTGGAATCTTTCCTTTGCATTATGGCGAAGACTTAGTCGTTCGATAGTCTCACTTCTAGGGGATCGTCCCTGGCCCAAGTAGTTCATCGCTCATTGCTTCTCGTATTTGTTTAACAGGCGACTCAAGGAGCTTTAAAAACCTTTATCAGTAATCGAGTTTGTGCAAGTGAACAAGTGGTAATATGGCTGCTCCAGTCCAACTGTAGTTATTTTCTGAAGTCTTGACAGTTTTTCGTCTTGTAAAGGTTGATATTACGAACAAGATGAGTTCAAGAAATTTAATTTTAATTCTTAGTTATGGGAGTTACTCCCTCCGTCTTAAAATGTAAGACCATTTTGACACTATACATTTTGGGACGGAGGGAGTACTTTGTAATTTTTTGGTTCCCAAAGTAGTGAGCATGTAGTGGTTCCAAGTATGAACAAATTTACACGTGTTTCTATCAAGAAAAAACTAGGGTTTCCAACTAGATGACTAATTTTTTTCTTATGATGTTCTCCAATTAATATTGCTCGCTCGCACAAATGGAAGAACTATAAAATTCTTTTCAGCTTTAGAAAAGCAACACATTTTTATCCATGCACATTGTGTTGTTCTTAATTATACACTCATGTTTTAGGCATACACTAGGAAGTAAGAACAACGAAAAAACACTTCGTGAAACTAAATTACAGGTTTTTTGTGAAATTAAATTACAATATATTGAAGCACCAACATTAACTGCTAGTCTGCCATCAAATGGCTCACGTCAATCAACTATGTATCTATACCAATATAAAAAGACCCAAAGGGGCATATTCAAATAATTTCGGCCATCAAATCATGTCAATCCAACGACCTAGACTGTTTCAATATCGAGCGCTCAACACATTTAGTGTGTAGTTAATTCCATGTCAAATATAGTGTTAATCATATAATAACACGTAAATAATATTTTACTTAATATCCGCATGCACTTAATATACTTCCAAATTAACGTGCATTGCACGTACACATTGACTAGTCGGAATTGTGGTGATGGACTAGTAGTGGTTGACGACAAAGAAGATGTCCCTGGCCCAAGTATGTTACAGGGGATCATCCCTTGCCCAAGTATCTTATAGGCAATCTTCATCCGTATCTTATAGGTGATCGTCCCTGGCCCAAGTATCTTATAGGCAATCTTCATTAGTAATCAAGTTTGTGCCGGTGAACGAGTGGCCATATCGCTGCTCTAGCCTGACTGTAGTTATTTTCTGAAGTCTTGACAGTTTTTCGTCTTGCAAAGGTTGATACTATGAAGAAGATGACTTCAAGAGATTTAATTGTAATTCTTAGTTATAGGAGTTACCCCCTTCGTCTTAAAATGTAAGACCATTTTGACATTATGTAGTGTCAAAATGGTCTTACGTTTAGGGATGGAGGGAGTACTTTGTAATTTCTTGGTTCCCAAAGTAGTGAGCTTGTAATGGTTCCGAGTATGAATAAATTTACATGTGCTTCTATCAAGAAAAAACTAGGGTTTCTAACTAGACAACTACTTTTTTTCTTATGATGTGCTCCAATATTGCTCGCTAGTGCAAAAGAAAGAACTCTAGAATTCTTTTCATCTTTAGAAAAACAACATTTTTTATCCATGCACATTTTTTTCTTCTTAATTATACACTCATGTTTTTGGCATACACTAAGAATTAAGAACAAAAAAATCACTTCGCAAACTTAAATTACAAGATATTGAAGCACCAACATTAACTGCCAACATTTTTGGCATACACTAAGCACCAACATTTTTTGCCGGTGATGGTCTACTGGTGGTTGACGACGAAGCACTTCTCCCTGATCTCCCCTTCATCGCCGGTGAGTACCTCGATGTTGCCCATCTTGACCATGGCCGCAGCAAACTTGGCCTGCCACACCCTCTCCACGGCGGCGTGGAACGCAACGATGCCAGCGGTCCAGGGGCTCGTAAGCAGCGTCTGGTCCGAGATGAGCGGCACCTTGCGCGCCAGTACGTTCTTGAAGTACTGGTTGTCGAACTCACCCGGTGTCACCGGGTCCAGCGGCACCGTGGTGCGGTCGCTCATGTTGTCTGTGGACGGCGGGCACTGCTGCCTGAGCTCCTCCGTGTAAGACCTGTCGATGGAGGGGTCGGTCTCGCCGACCTCGCCGGAGAAGTTGTGGATCCGCTGCGTGAAGGAGGAGCAGTGGGAGCGGCCGATGGTGTGCGCGCCTGAGAGCGTGACCATATCGTCGGCGGAGAGCCCCTTGCGTTTGAAGCTGGCCACAAGTTCATCGACCCCATCGGTAGGGAATGGTACGTTGTTAACAAGCACCTCATCGGCGATGGACACACGGCCGTCGCGGCGGCCCGCGGGGACGCCGTACTCGATGCCGCCAGCGAGGTAGGCCCCGTCACGCGCGGCGAAAGCGAGCACGTCGGCGCAGGAGACAGTGTGCGGGCAGGACGCCTCCAGTGCGGCCTTGGCCTCGTCGATGATCTCAAAGCCACGTAGGCTGGGGTTGTTCGCCACCGAGTCCCTCTCCGCCGTGTTCCCTGGCGTCGAGTTGATTAGCACCGATGCATCGCAGCCCTACACGTATCGTCAAAATAAAGGAACCAACGGTTAGATGAGAGGTTAATTGGATTAGTGCTGTACTGCAGTAGCATTTTTGGCGTGGTAGCTTACCCTGACGAAGCAGTCGTGGAAGTGCATGCGGATGAGGCCGGCGGCCAGGCCGGGGTTCCGACCAATGGCGCGGCGGATGGCGTCACGCACGATGTCCTCGGCCTGCGGGCATGTGTGCTTGTAGAACCCGACCTCCAAAGACTTAGACGACGGCGACGCGTCCGCCACTGCCGACGAGGCGGCCAAGGCGAGCAGCACCGCCGCTGCCCACGCGAACACCATCCATGGCGATAACCTCATGGACAAAGGTTCACTAATGGCCGGTTTTTTATGGCAGGTGCTCGCTAGCTACGTTGAGTTCGATCGCCTGTAGCCCTGGAAAGCTAATTAAGCTTAAGAGACTGATCGGAATTGCGTGATGGAATTGGTTGATGTGGAAATGAGTCGATGGCCAAATGAGTATACGGTCTGGTGTTTATATATGCACGCACATTGTAGCAGTTGGGAAAAAATGGCACCGCGTGTTGTGTACCGTGTCAACAAGACCAGATCGTCGCTGCATGGCTTTAATAACTTTGCTTCTTTTCACCTAACAGAAATAATTAAATCGGGCCTTTTCGTAAGCGTGTGATACGTACTCATGCAGCGGAAACCCTGCCCCTAGTCCACGCATGCATGCATCACGACAAGCTCCACACATCTCGAGGCAGCAATAGACGGTGTATGATGCACGAATCATGCATGGTGGAGCAAATCAACGTCTTCTCTTCCCATTGTCCGTACTCCACAGCGAGGAAGGGATATCGATTGATCAATATACAATGTGCAAAATATAAGTATATGGTGGCCGACATTACGCCTGTGTCACTATATATCTGACCAAATTTTGCATTTGCAACACAATCATTTGCGAAACAGTCGTATTAACAGCTAACAGAAAAGGGATGTGTGAAGGTTACTTGTGGAAATCTTAGGCAGATGAGTCAGATTATGAGATAAACCATTGACAGAGTCTCTGCGATGTACGTAGGACTTGGCCAGAGTCGTGTGGGTTTGTATGATCTGTATGCAATGCTTTAAGACTTGCTTTCGTTTTCGTTTACCTTTTACTCTTTTAGGCATGCGAAGATATCGTTACTGTATCATATCATTAGTATTGATAGATTTCTCGCAAAAAAATTAGTATTGATAGATGCATCTACTATTCTCCAGAGGCTGCAGCTAAAAGTAGCCATAAGCGGTTTACACTTTGCTAATTCGTTGTTGCCGGATGCACCAACGTGATTGCATATTGCCAAGAATTATGTACATCACCCTACAGCAAAATTAACAACACTGTTAAACCAGGGTCAACTTTTAACCAAATCCTTGTCCATGAAAGAGTTTTACGGCCCGATTTATATACTACTCCCTCCGTAAAAAAAATATAAGAGCGTTTAGATCACTAGAGTATAAAGCAACACAGCCGAACGATATAAGGTGTTGAAAAAATCTACATACAAGTTGATCCAAAGAACAACACAAATACGACAAGACGCCACCAACGTACACGAACTTGTTATTGTTCTATTGGTTTGCTAGACCCTGCGAACGCCCAACCACTTGTGTTTGATTGCTACCCAAAGCAATATCTTTTAATTGTTTTTTTCCTTTGCATGGTTTGTGAGAGAAAACTGATGATTTTGCAAATAGATCCCCGTAAAAATAGCAACTCAACCAGCGATCTAGGAATGCTGATGTGGCAGCCATGTGGCCGATTTTTTCCCCTTCCGGGTCGGTTTGGGCCTTATTTGATCAAATTAACGACTTCATGCACAAAATCAATCATTTCCTGAGTTGTTGGCCTAAAGCATGCAATCAATTTGAGTTAATGAACTATTGGTGCATTTGAATCCCCAATAAGCACAAGGAGTTGGGGTCAGGATGTTTCTGACTGTTTTTTCATAAAATAGCATTTTGTCATTTTAGAACACCAAAGAGAACTCGGTGACTATACACTGCAGTTTTTTTAGAAGGATAATATATTGTGGCTGAAGCAGGAGTTCCGTTCCATCTTATTGTCCGGCTTTGTTTATGAAAACAAATGCCCAGCCCAACTAACCTTTTTTATGAGAAAAACCTTACAGCTAAAACCCTACACCGCTTCTTGCAAAGTTGCAAGAAATCACTACTAGACCTATGGGATCTTTCTGGTGGAAAAACATCCTCAAACTATTGCCACAATACAAAAGTTGCACAAAAGGAATTATTGGACAAGGCAATACCATTTCATTTTGGGAAGACAATTTGGGGCTTTGGTCCTATTAAGCAGAAATTCCCTGAGCTGTTTTCTTTCTCTTGCAAGACCATCTTGACAATGAAAGACTATCCACTAGGTGAAAACACTTTGGATTTTTTTTTCACACTCCTCTTTCTTCACAAGCATACCAACAAATGTTGGAGTTAAGTTACAAAACATTACTCGGGACATTCAAGTGAGCGATAGCATGGACAAATGGATTTACACCTGGGGTTCTGACTTCTCTTCCATTAAGATGTACAAGATGATAATGCAAGGAGAACAGGCACCCCCCCCCCTCCCCTCTTCACCAAAATTTGGAAGAATGCCACTATGCTAAGATATAAGATTTTTTTCCTGGCTGCTCTTGCATGATAGAGTCAATAGAAGAAATCTGTTTCATAGAAAATCTTTCCATCTGCCATCACACAACTGTGAACTATGTACTACTGAAGAAACTGCCCTACATCTGTTCTGGGACTGCAGCTTTGCCTTGAACTGCTGGGAATCAATTTCGGGACCTAGACACAGAGGTATTTCTGTATATGATGAAGCAATGCTCCTGACTCAGACACTACCAAGTTCCATTGCTATATGGAAATCATAATCATGGGATGCCGGAACATTTGGATCCAGAGAAATGGGAAAATATTCAAATCCAAACCTTTTTCACTTCAGTCCTGGAAAATCATGTTGACTGACCTTTTGTTGCTCAACCACAGGATCAAGTATAAATCTGAGGCCCATCTTACAAGCTGGATTGATCAAGTTCTGAACTTAAACTGATTTACCATGATGGATTTTGAGAGAGCTGGAATTGGATAGCTTCTTTTCTCCTTGTATTTTTCTGCTTCTTCATTTCTACATATCCGCACTCTTTATTTTTAATATACCTATACCGTAGAACGATTGTTCTACGGGTTTTGGTTCAAAAAAAGTTGCAAGAAAAGCATGTCGCTCATGCCGTCATTTTATTTTATTTTTCTCTCTAATTTTGTTTTCAATAAAATACACAAATATTTTGAGATACTACGTAAACACTTGTTAACATGTGAACTTTTTAAAAATATATGAGCACAACGAGATATATGAACTTTTTTTTTGTGCACAAGATTTGAGAGATGAGACTGCTGCCATGTGTCAGCAGGAGTTAGAAGGATTATGGTGAGCTGATGTAGCTCAAATGGTTAGATTCTTTGTGTGAAACCAATCCACCAGGGTTGTAGTTCTAGACTTGGCACTGGTGCTGGCATTTTTCTAAATTTATTTCATACTTTTTAGCTGATGTTTGTTTAGTGGGAGGAGATTTTCCTATCGACTATGAAGATGTGTGTAGTGACTTTGTGATCTCAAGATGTTGTGCCAGCTCGGTATCTCGGTGGTGCTCATAGAGATAGGATGTACGTGCATTCATAGGTGTGAGTGTATGTGCGTGCATGTGAGCATATGCATTTGTATCGTCTTAAACATTATAAGCATTATGTACTTAATATGACTTTGAAGTACCCGTCTCGCCCAGCCCGCTCCCGCGAGGGGGGGGGGCACCCACGCGCCGCCGCCTCCAACCCTTCCCCGTCCCCTCCCCCTCCCCGCTGCCGCCGGCTGGCGTCGGCGGCGGCAGGCCCTCCTCCCTTCGGTGCGGTGTAGTGCTGGCGCGGGACAGCGCCCTCGCGCGGATGCGCGCAGCCATGCAGGGCGGCGCGGCACGGATGCGTCCGGGGCGGCCGAATGGCGGCTTTCTAGTGCGGAGGCGCGGGTGGCTACAGATTCGCGGCCTGGCGGGGCGTGCCGGCGCGGGGCGGCTGTGGTGAGCTTCTCGGTCTAGATCTGGATCGGGGGCTCCTTCGGCCTGCTGCACGTGGGCGGTGCGTCCTGTCGGCGGCGGCTGGATCCCGGGGCGGCCGCCCTGGAAGGTGGCGGGTGGTGAAGCTCAGGCTTCCCGCGGCGGCATGGCGTGGTGCAGTTCCTATCCAAGGCGGATCTGCATCGGCGATCTCGTGGTTTGGCCACGGATTGGTTCAGATCAGAGACGGTGATGAGTGTGCGGGATCCATCCCAGCGGCTCTCGCGGTTTGGCGAGGTGGGGTGGGAGCCCTCCTCCCAGGCTCCAGTGGTGGTGCATTCAGGCAGTGGCTGGTGCGCCAGGGCTCCTATGGTGGCACTGCTGTTGCGGTTGGTCGCCGGATCTAGGCGGCTAGATCTGGGGCTTTGAAGGCGGTCGAGACAGTGCACAGGTTGTCGGGTGGATTTCTTGAAACGGATCCGGGTGAAAACTTGGTCTTCGGTCATTGGCCGGAGCCGGTGATGACGATGCTCTTATCATCGTTTCCTTCATGAAGGCATCATCGAGGTGAAGCTCCTAACCCCACCCAATACCTCCGGGGGAAACCCTAGATCAGTTGATCAGATGACGGCGGCATTCATGTGTCGTTACCCCCTTGGGGGCGGCATTCTTGGAGATGCACTCGGGCTCGAGGGACCAGCGGATGGCATCTGCGGTGGAGCGGTGTTTCTTCCTACATATTCTTGGCGGCGGTTCTCGACGGCATGGAGCAGTGGAGGCTTGGCGTCAGATGTGTGGTGAGGGACACGCGCAGGAGGTCGACGTTGTCTGGCGCCGTGGTGGCGTCGATGGCAGAGTGGTCTGACAAGGTCGATGCGTCAGTACATGCTTTGAGGATGGATCGAGGGAAGACGGAGGTGACGGCCCTTTGCAGCGTGTGCGTGTGGTACTCACTGAGAGTGCGCCGGACCGGAGTGTTACCTAGTCCCGCCTATGTGGCTTGGATGGGGCATCCGGCGTTAGATGTTAGGCTTTCGTGCGATGTCTGTTTGGTATTTGGCCCGGACATTGGGCACACTTTCATCAAAGGGATAGGAGTAGCGACATGTGTCGTCTAGATGGTGGCCTCGGGCTTACTGTTGTATTACTTTGTTAGGTCTTTATGAATAATAAATAATATGGCCGCATGCATCACCCAGATGCAGAGGCCGGGGATGATTCCTCCTTTTCTAAAAAAAA